AAGCCATAGCAGGATGTACCCTTTGGACACACTTCCAGGGACTTCTTTCCTCTTTCCATACCTTACCTCGTAGTTATATCACCTCCAAGTTGTGCCACTAAATTAAAAGTCGAGCACTGTGGCTCACGTTTCTGCTCACAGCTCTCATTTTGTGAGCCTCACAAGTTGGATAAGAGTCAAGGCTCAGCACTGAGATCAGGTCTCAAAAGCAAAATATTATTAATCCATGATGAAGTTAGAGTCCTTGTGATCTAGTCCCTCTTCCCCAAAGTCCATCAATGGTACCAATGAAGCCTAAAACTCAGGAGTCTTTGGGTGCTATTGTATATCCATATCAGGATAAGGGGTAGATGCAGAGGAGAGGAGTAAGGCAGAAAAATCATGTAGTAAACAGAAGAAATTCTTGTGTCTTTCCTGGGATTAGACATAGGTTTTGTAGAATTCGGATGCTACCTATTTACACTCCTTTCATGATTTGATGTTCCCTGTCCCCATAGCTGGTTGATGTCTTTAACCCTTAGCGGTGAAAATTTACTGGATATTATAGCTTGGGACGAAACATTTCTCAGATGGACAATATGCGTGTTTGCAGGAATGGGGTTGAGTAGGCTCTAACCCACAGGGGAAGACAGGGTAGAAAACAGAGTTGTTAAAGTATAGTTACTCTTCTCAATGGAGGCCAACTCACCGGACAAAGGTTTTCCTTAGTAACTACCAATGTTAGAGTCTTCATACAGAAAATAATGAATTTTTGTTCTGTGTTTTTATTTGTTCTTTCTTTGACACAGGTTTGTATGTGTAGCCCTTGTTGTACTGGAATCTGCTCTGGAGACCATAGCTGGCCTGAAACTCAAGAAATCCCCCTGCTCTATACCCCAATTGCTGAGATTAAATGTGTGTGGCGCAATACCTAGCTTGCACCTTTTTCTCTATGTTTTATCTGTAGCACTCTGTCTTACTCAACCATAGTTAGTGTGTGTGTGTGTGTGTGTGTATGTGTGTGTGTGTGTGTGTGTATTGATAATCTTATTTCCTTAGAGTGTTCTTTCTCACTAAGGGTCTTCTTCAGCACTCCGTCTCACCAAGTAACATTAGACTTGTTTTTAAGGTTTCACATTGTCTCTGATTATCCTTCTTCCTTTTCACAGATTTTTTTTTACCCTGTGCTGTATTCCCATGATATATCATAAACATCTGCATTAGTATACTTGCATGGCTCAGTCAATATTATCTACTTTCATACACATTGCTCTTGTATGCGACCCTTTTCTCTCCTCATTGTTGTGGCCAGATACCTTACAATAAACAGCTTAAGGGAAGTAAGGCTTATTTTGGCTCAGATTGGGTGTAGGCTCCATTGTGGTAGGGAAGGGATGAGGGCGGGCAGATGGTTCCATGATGGTTAGCACAAGCAAGCAGAAAGCAGAGTGAGCAGGTACCAGGATTGAGTTTCCAAACAGTAATGCCTTCCCCAATAACCCAATACCCCCATCAAAAAATATGTGCTAATGGTACTACACTGTCCCAAGACAGAACCAACTGTAGAGGACCACAATGTAATGGCCATTTTACATTCAAACCTTAACAGAAAGAACCCAAGTTATCGAAGGTAAGGTGCTCAAAAGCAAATGAGCCATCTTTCACTTCTCAGGGATAATTATTTTACGTGTGATTTATTCAGTTTTAAGGCTCAGTGAGACAGACAGAATAGTTATAGGAATTCTTAGTTTATTTAAATTTTTTTGTGTGTATACTGTGTTTTCCTCACAACTTTCATAGCTTTTAGTGTCAGTGTTCAGTGTGTAATGGAAATGTCTTCTCTTCATAAGTAAAGAACTCTGGGTATACCTTTTTGTTTTATTTTTGATAGGGGTTCCCTGTGGAGCCCCGGTGGTCCTGGGACACACCGTGGTCCTCTCCATCTGCCTCCCTAATGCTAGGATTGCAGGTGCATACTACCTCACCGAGTTTAAACCAATACTTTTGGAAAGTTAACTATGGCTACTGTTTTGAAGATAACCCATTAGTGATTCAGTGGCTCCCGTGACTGCACTGTTCTCTTATCACTACATATACAAACAGCAGGATCATTCATCATCAGCATTGGCTTAATAATCTTTTGTTTTCATGCTTCACAATTATGCATGAAAAATTAAATATTAACATACTCAAACCTTAGCCCTTTTTCGATTTTATTCTCAAACATGATGGTATACTAATATCAAAGAGTATGCTTGTACATTCCAAAGAAAATTAATAGGAATTTTAAATATAAAGATTCGAAAGAAATTTATGAACTCATTACATGATACTTGGTGCACTCTATTTCAGTTTGTTTACTTTTCTGTAATTCTGCAAAATATTGATTAATTAACTTTAGCAATAACTTTACCAATAACAGTACTTTAATATCTTTATATATATTTATATATAAAATATGTAAAGTTTATATATCATATATGTCTATATTCATAAGTTAATATGTATGTTGATTACATATATCATATTTTGTTAAAATTTAAATACCAGCAATAAGGATTTTTTTATTCCTGAATTGTCAATCTTCGGTATGTTTTACTATTTTCATATAGATATATACATAAAGACAGAAATTGTGATATGTATATATATATATATATATATGTATGCGTGTGTGCATGTTTGAAATGCTTATAAGTAGTATGCTTCTAGCAGTGCATCTTAAAGACTGTCAACAGTTTTAATATCTTTCATAAATTTAAACTGTTGACATTGTACATTTATAATTGATAGGTTCTATTAGGTCATAACTTCTTTTGATTCCAGTCACAACCTTAATTGGATGTCTATGAATGTTTATTTTTTGACATCTTGAGATTATTGTTTAACTATTGTTGTAAGATTTAGTATCAATATTTTGATATATACAGTTGATGGGAGTGATATTCATTTTCATAATCTTATCAATGCTTGCTATTATTCTGTTTAACATTTCACTTTAGGTTTTTCATATGTGTGCGTGTGTGTGCACGCACGTGTGTGTGTATGTGCGTGTGCATGAATGTGGTTGTAAATCAGATGTTCCAGTCACCTCAATTTATTTATTTAGTATTTGCTGTCATTTTGTTTTTGATTGTTTGGTCCTTCTGTTCACATGAAACATCCCTGAGTGGGCTCAGTTTCACTAACTGTGTCATCCTGTACAATCATTAGGAGATAGTTTAGAAAGAGAAGATTTTTTTTTGCTTAGTTGTCTATAATTTATACTACCAGCTTTCTATAACATAACAGAATAAGAAAACTCATCCTTAAATAATGATACACATATAATTAAATAGTGAGAGGTATGTTACAGTTTAGACAGATACATATAAGACCCTCCCTGGAAAGTGGAGTCTGTAGAGAAAGATTTTCATTATGTTCTTATTTATTGTGAAAATGAGCTGTAATATTGTTTTAGAAATTGAAAACACTATTTAAATTTAATCCTATAAATTTAAAAAAAGGATAATGAACATTATGAACTAGGAAGTGATACTTGTTTACCTCCTAAGATATTTCTCCCATCATTCCTTTTTCAAAGTTTTAACTTTTATTTTTTTATTAAGATTTTAATAAAATATTATAAATTGTACAATTATATTATAATAAAATAAAATATACTTACATTACTTCCTTCCCTTCTCGGTGCCTGCTCAAGACACTCTCATGTTCCCCCTCACTCCCTCTCAAATGATGCTCTCTTTTTCGCTCTATATTGTATAATAGATACACACACACACATATATAGCAGATATACACACATGTACATAAGCATGTTCATGCAGTCTGCTAAGTCTCTTTGCTGTGGCTTGTGCATGTATGATTAGAGATGAATTTCTATATGAGATATGAAAATAGAAAGATAAGCATGAAAAGGGAAAGGAAGGAAAGACAGAGAGGGCGGGGCTAGAGAAGGCAATAGAACATGCGCACTGCGAGTGTAGATGTGGGCCATAATGGACCACTCTTCATGTTAAACAACGAACTAGGAAATTGGCCCCTGTTCTCCACGAGATGCCTCGAGAACCCTGACCTTGCACTTGAGTCCATTTGCTTTGTCCGTAGCTTCCAGGAGATGTATGTTCTGTGACCAGTAGATCCTCCCACTGACTTGCTTGTCCTGAGCTGACTTAGTGTCATGACCTGGTTCTAGTATGTGAAACTTCACGTGAATTCTTGCACATGGTGCTGGCAGTGCCCCGTGATGAGAACAGGAAATTCGCATCATGGTTTTTTGTCTGTCTCTATTGGCGTCTCCCGTCATTCTTAATGAGTGAATTTATGTTCATGTTTTCATGTCTCAAGGCTGTTAAGTTGTATTCAGGAGGTCACGGAACATTGTCCTTAGTTCCTTTAACATCTTTAGGTCTCATACATTTTTTTTTAAGAATGCAAATAAAAAGTCAACATGTTTCAGAAAGCGGAAGCACAAGAAACTAGTGAGTAATTGGCTACTTGATGTGCTGGGTGAAAACTTATGTGATCTGCAAAAGGATCATAACGATGTTGAAACCATAGGTTTAATAAAGAGTAAATTTCGTAGATCTTAGAAACGGGTGAGTTTGCTTAGTATTCACCCAGCGTACCAAGTGCTCATCTTGGCATGAAGGAAGCGTGGACAGCCTCTGAGAATATAGATTAAAGACCCACAAGAAGCTCTCATCAAACTCCAATTTAGAGACTGACAGAGAAAATAGTGGGACCCACCTCAAACTTAACAAACCAAATGACTAACTGAGGTGAGAAATAATCTTTAGAGGGAATTTTCGATAACAAGCCCCTTAACGACAAGATGTTAAAGTCAGGCTTTGAAGGAAAGTATGAGTTATCAGGAAACATTGAGTGCTCTGAGGTAACTCTAGCATTTAAGAACTGTTTCTCGCCTCAGCAGTTTTAACTTACAAAGAAATTGTTAAAGGAAACCAATGAAAATGCTTATGGAAAACATTTGTTTTTTCCTTTCTATTTGAAAATAATAGTTGAAATCTGGAGAAACAGCTGCCAATATTGCCAGAGAGCTAGCGGAACAGACCCGAAATCATTTGAACGCTGGGGATATCACCTACTCAGTTCGTGCCATGGACCAGCTGGTTGGTCTTTTGGATGTCCAGCTCAGGAATTTGACACCAGGGGGAAAAGACAGCGCTGCCCGCAGCTTGAATAAGGTGAGAACCTCAGCTGTGTTTGTCTTTCAGTTTGAAGTAAGCTCAGTGAGACAAGTCTTTAGTTTCTCTTCTTTCAATTTTCGTTGTTCAAACGAACCAGTCCTTACATTCAGTTGACTTTACTATTTCATTACAATTACATTATGATCTTATTTGGCTTTTACTTTAGAGAAATATGTACCAGTTGCATCATATGCATTCTGTATTTGCAGTTCGGTTTTTGCTAGTACTTTCTCAATCATTTTATGTTAAATTGTAGCAAAACCAATGTAGATCCAAGCAACTGGTCATTGTTTCCTATAAACATCTCTTTGAAAATAGTAGGCTATTTAATGAGTGTTTAATCAGAAAGTGTAAATTTAGGAAACATTAATAAAAGCATATTAATCCATTAGATTCCTCTCCCTTCCCCTGCTATTGGATTTTTTTAATGAGATAATTTAACCTAGTGAATATTACCTTTAAGTACTGCAAGTACAAGAAATTAGATTTTAATACATGCTTCATTTAGATTTTAAATGACTCAGATTTTTGTATCATAATCAATAAAAATCTGAGTGTTTTATTTCTGTAAATTTTAACTTTAAATAAACAAATTTCAATATGTTGCACTTGAAGATATATATTTAGAATTTTTTCATACTTTAATAAACATTTCACTTGCTAAGTATCTTATATAAATTAAAAACACAAAAGACAAGCTGCATATTTATAAAGAATATAATTTATATATGTTACTAAGTATTAGTAAACTAACCTCTTGTTGTCAATAGCATCAAGTGAAGATGCTCCTGAATGGTGTAACAATTCTATGACCTGGGCTATTAACATTCTTTCCAACTTTAAAAAAGTGACGAATGCTCCTCTAGGAAATTTATTTTTAAACATTCCCCTTTAAATAAAAAAAATGAACAGTAAAGTTGTTGTAGATTTGTCTTTTACTGACTGTAATTCTGTCTTGGTGGGGAAAGGTTGCCACTCATTTAAACTGAGAAATGCTTTTATATAATAACCATTCAAAATTAAAAAGCCAGATATTTTAACTGAGATAGCTCTTGCTGCAAATTTACCTTTTGTAATCAGATAAAGATTTAGTCTTTGTTTATTAGATATAATGTATTAGATTCCTTTGTCATTCTGAGCAAGAAGGAGGTTTCTGTTGTTTTTTGGCTTTGTTTTTTTTTTTTTTGTCTTGTTACTTTTTTTGACTTGTATCCTGATAGAATCACAACCAAGCCCCTGATGGGATAATCAACAGCTGCCTATATGGTCTGGCATGCTGTGACTTTAATATAATGTGACTGTAGCTGACCTGATGCTACTAATGAGTATGGCTGCCAGCTATTCTTATCATAATGGGATGGGAGTACTGATTTTTATTAATGTTTCATATCCATAACATGATTTGTTATCGCAATACTTTGTAACTTTATTTAAAAGTGGTGTTGACATCTGAGGCTATCAGGTAAATCTGGCAATTAATGTCACATTCTAACTGGCTACAGCTAATCAGCTTGCCTAGGCTGAATATCAAATAACTACATAATGGGCAAATTTCCATTCCTGAGGCTTCTTAATGCTCTCTTTTGTTTCCCATTTGGCTCTTGTCAATTGTTTATATAATGCAGTTTGTCATATGTTAATTTGCATGAAGGGCTAGGGAGTTGGGAGGGCAAAGGTTACTCCTGTGCTTGCTGGCTTGCTCTCATTTCTTGTGGTTCCTACTTTCCCCAAGGCCTGGAATAGCCCATCATATTTGCAAAGTCAACTAGGTACAAATCAATTGCACCCACATTGAAATTCTGGAGGGCTCAGAGCCCTACATTTCAGGGATAGGAGTCACTGATCTGAATGACAGCCTTGCTCTCGTTCCTGACTTCATTCTTCAGCGGTTACTTCCCCTCCCCACCCCCCACTGAAGAAAGGACGAATTAGAGTTGGTACAGTAGTAGCTAGTTACCCCAAAAGTGTCAGAGTAAGTGCTCCCTAAAACTGAAGTAGATTTTGCAATTCAAGGCTAATGACCAAGGGAACTGAGTAAAACTGGGGGAAAAAGATGAACCCCCACAGTCTGATTTATAAAAATTTGGGTCACCCATTTTAACAGTATGAGTGAAGGGTTATTGATTATTCATTTGAGCACCAGGAGAAAATATTTGGGTCTGAATACAAACTCGTGTCAACAAAAACAAATTAAATCAAGTTTCTTACCCTCTCAGTTTCTAAAGTGTTTTCTATTTTGGCCAAGACTGTCAAACAGAATTCTGTAAGAAATAAAAGCAGCAGCAAGTCAGGAAATGAGTCACACTGTTGGTAACCGTCCCCTAGGTTTAAATAGTCACAGTGAATGGGAATTTCTATCTTCCTTATAATAGAATTTTTGAAGGTATGAATGAACACTTAATATGATCACACATCAACCATCTAGGCTGTCTCGAAAAGCACACGTAATCTCTTTTTAATATAATGGGTTCCAAACTTTTTGCATAATTGACTTAACATCTTATGTCTTCACTAGCAGCTCATGAATGAATAACTAACCGGATGTGACCTGGATCATTTCATATGAATGTTGATTGATTTCTACTAATTTCTACTAAATGTATTCAAAAGTTTCTTTCTATCAGCAACTTTCCACCATCTGTTGTTTAGGTGGGCTGTTCTTAAAAAAAAAAAAGTGTTTTGGCCACTGTATTACTGCTGCGTAGCCTTGGTTTTCTTCTATAAAAGTAGTGAATCAAAAAGTAAGGTGTTTATTTAGATGTTTTCTTTTTATTTTTCTTCTGTCACTAACTTGTTTTTTCTATTCTGTGTTTAATCTGCTGTCTTAATGGATTCAGCTTCAGAAAAGAGAGCGCTCTTGCAGAGCCTATGTCCAGGTACTTTCTGTGTTTTTATAAATGTGTAAAGTTGTTGAATTGTTTCTGTTGGTGATCGCACATATGGGCTTCTTAGGAAAAAAATGATAATGTGACATATTGAGGTAAAGGAACTTCAGAGAGTGTGTGCAGGGTGGGAATGGTAAGAATGAGTCTGTGGTAAAAAAAAAAAAAAAAAAAAAAAAAGGAAAACTGATGATTCCAGGTTCTGTTAAGCCTGAGGAGCGTAGACAAGAGTGAAGGTAAGGTGCAACTGGAGGCACGAACACTGTCATCTCAGAGCTGAGTTTGGTGTGACACTTACGTCTCCGTTCCTTCATAGTCACTTGGTAGGTTTGACTTATGCACTGAACTGTCAGTTCATTCAGAATTATCAATCAGAACCATAGAAGGATATTTCAATATAGGATATTCGAAATAATCTTAATTCTGTTCCAAAATAGTACTCAAGACTCCAGACAGGATTGTGATTAGGTTCCTTTCTTATGCAAATTTAGTTTTTAGACAAAATGAGTTGTTTAGTGTGAAAGAGAACAGTACTCAAACAAACTGACTGTCTTCCCCTGGGCTTTGTTTGACCCGTTTTCTGTGGGATGGGAGGAAGTTGTTTGTTTGTTTGTTTGTATCTATCTATCTATCTATCTATCTATCTATCTATTTTCCAAGACAGAGTTTCTATTTGTAACAGTCCTGGCTGTCTTGGAACTCTCCTTGTAAATCAGGCTGGTGTCAAACTCACAGAGATTCACCTGCCTTTGCCTCTAGAATGCTGGGATTAAAGGAGTGCACCACCATACCTGATATTATTTTTCATTCTGCTTTGTTTTGTTTTACTTTATTATTTTATTTATTGTATTTTATTATATATATAGTATATATATATAATTTGAATTATTTATCATTTTATTTATTATTTTATTTATATTATTTTATTTATTTTCTATTCTTTTTTAAGACAAAGGGGAGATCTAGAACCTATGCCTGTTAACTTGATATTTTCTGAATGCAAAACATAGTGTTCTATATAAGCAAATCCATTTGTATTTGGAGAAAAAGGGCCTCAGGAACCAGGTTAGTATTTGTGAAGACTGTCTGTGCAAAGTCAAAACCTTAACAGTTTCTTCACCGTTACATATAATACAGGAACTTTGGCTTTGTCTCCCCAGACAAAGAGCTTTGATTGATGTAAATATTAGATACCAGTTTGTCCATTTGCATTTTTCTAATGACCTGAATATTCACATCTACTAATTTTTCAGGTAATATAGAACTGGGATATTTACCTAATTAATAGAAAGCCACATAGCAAAAATCATATGAAAAGAAACTAGATGATCTTAGCGGAGAATCATTCAGGTTATAAAAAGCACAGCATAGGTAGTCACTGTGATGAATGCACACCTGTCTCTGCTCAGTCAGGCAGTTGTTTGTCTAATTTGACTACCATTATTTTTTTTTCCTGACCCATTTTAAAAACTCAAGAGATCCATCATTTCCTCAAGAGTGTTAACAAGCAATACAAACTAGTCTCTGCCCTAGGGTTTTAACACTCCAGTACATATTATTGATGAGTTTAATTCTATTCATCTTCCTTTAGTTAGGGTCATACGGGGGAAATAGAGAACTTGCCTGGACAAGATATGGTGTTTTCTTGTTTTCTCAGGCACTCAAGGGGGCTTCAGACTTGTTACATACAGAGGTATCCAGCATGTTTTCATCTGTAAAGCAGGGAAAGACTTTTTTTTCTCCCTTACCCATCTCTATTCCAATGGTCAAGGACTTTTTAGCAAAAATTGAACAGTATAACAAGAGATATGGCAGGGTAATTTATTAAATATAAGCTCTAAGTGATATGGAAACTGTAGAGAAAGAGAAACCCAGAGAGGCAGAGAAATGTATGTATTTTTGTGCTGGAGCGTTATGAGGAGAGGATCAACTGTCAGTCAACTGAGCTGGAGTGTGGCTGGACAAAGTGATGTGATATAACCTCAGTAAACTGAGGGGAACACAGCAAGCCATGCTCACTCAGATTTCCGACATCTCTGGGGCTATGGTTCTCTTTGGAGATGAGTGGGTGTCTCTCGAGATGAAGACCTACAATTTGCTTCAGGATAAGGTCATGGAATTTTTTTTTTCTTTCCAATTTTGTAACCTCCTTCCTTGAAGAAAGATTGGCAAGAAAAGTGTGAATAAATTTTTGTATCTGGTGGTGTCTCAAACACCATGATGGCATTATTCTGATCCCCAGTCTTACCAAGTTCAAACTTGGGCTTTTTTTCTTTAAAGAAAAACATAGAATATAATAAATAGTGTTGTCTTATGAGGTGCGCTTTGAGTCTGAAGGCATGGGAAAAATAAGAGCATTTGCTGAGAATTGTTTAAAAGAAAATAAAAACTAATTTGAGTACTGAGGATGATGGGGATTAGTTTTTATTGACATTTATTTTATGAAATGATGAATATTTGTGAATAAGAAAATGTTAAGACGTATTTTTCTAAGGTTTTAGAAAAATATCCTTGGGGGACGCATAGCATGATGGGTAGGGGAAGGATGCCCATTGCAGAAAGGTGAGAAGAATGTTGCAGCTCTGCCGGGATCGTTTCCAATTGTAATCTATGCTATCCTTTTAATGGGGCTTTTGGGATAATTAGCTTTCTGGTGTTTAAAATCTATGAAACGCATGGTCATTCAAACATGAATCTCCAATGGAAAATTAATAGCACAGTTTATTCCACGGTTGATTTCCTGGTGTTATAATTGACTAACTGTGAACAAATGTTTCAGCTATTGACTAAGTATCTGATGAGACACAGTACAAACAGAGGCTACTGGTGGTGTGGAAATGCTCTGTTCAAAAATACAAGATGCTCCTTCTGATTTTGTTTTTTGCTTGTTTTTTGTTTTGTTGTTTGTTTTTGTTTGTTTGTTGGTTGGTTGGTTCATTTTCGAGACAGTTTCTCTGTATAGCCCTGGCTGTCCTGGAACTCTCTCTGTAGACCAGTCTGACCTCAAACTCAGAAACCAGCTTGCCTCTGCCTCCCAAGTGCTGGGATTAAAGGCAAGTGCCACCACTGCCTGGCCCTTCTGGTCCAGGACGTTCAAAGGTCAAATGCTGTAAAAATCATCTGTGAGGGACTCATGAGGAAGAGTTTTAACTTAACCATTGTTTATATGTTCAGATCGCTCTTGGTGCCATCAATGAAAGAGAGTAAGCTACTAGGCCTGGTTTGAGCTTCTGAAATCTCAAAGACCCCTCAGCAATGACACATTCTTCCAATAAGCCACACCTACTCCAACAAAGGCCATATCTATTCCAGCAAAGCCACACCTACTCTAACAAGCCACACCTACTCCAACAAGCCACACCTCCTAATAGAATCACTTCCTATGAGCCTACCTATCAGAGCTTTTTCATTTAAGCCATCACACATGCCTTTTATTCTATGCAAAACCAAAAGCACAATAAACTCAGACCTACCAGTTATCAATTATAAATGACTGGTACGTGAACAATTTAAATAGGGATAAATTTTAAGATAAAACATAAATTCTCCGAAATAGTAAATTTGTGTTCTAAGATTTTAAAAACATCAGTCCAATACAATTTACTTTTCTTTATTTATCTGTGACATATGTTATAGTAATAAATATTTATCAATTACTGAAAGATAAAAAATGATATTTATCATATTATAAAAGGACATTCATTTGCCCTGTGTATATTATTTTTCTGAAGTCTGGCTTGGTAATACAGGCATGTTGTTTAGGGTTTTCACAATGGTGAAAAATAACAATGATTTGTTATTAACAGTAAGGATATTTGGGCCAGAGAGATGGCTTAGAGGTTAAGAACAAAGGACCTAGGTTTGATTCTTAGCACATACATGGCAGCTAACAACTACCTGTAACTCCAGTATGAGGGGATCCAGTGCCCTTTTCTGACCTATTCAAACATTGCATGCACAGACATGCCTGCAGACAAAATTTGTAAAATAAAAATAAATAAATAAATAAATAAATAAATAAATAAATGAAAGAACATTTATTAGGCCATCTATGTGGACATTGTTCTGCAGAATTCTAAGTATTCTCTATTAACTATTTATATATTACTCTGGGACAGGATGTGTAAAACAGGGTTGTCTCCAACTGAACTATTCCTCTCTTACTTGCATGCATTCTAAGATCACAGGCAAGAAAGAGATTTTCATATCTTATTATTATTCAATATTTATAAGAACATTCTGTTCTAGCTCTTACATTTTGTTATGTTCAGAGTGAAAATGGAGACCCACAAAGTGTTAATTGATTTCCATAGATCACCCAGTAATGACTGAAGAGATCGGGAAATCTGAAGCTTATTTGAAAGCTTAAGTACAGTTCATTTATTCCAACAGCCCTGAAACCTGACTTCCGTAATTACTAGATGGCAGAAAGCAAGAGCTGTCATTTGTCTTATATTTATTGTTGTGTGTGTACTGTATTCTAGAAATGGAAGAGACTAAAACAATTACTTCCCTTCTCTCTTTCTCTCTCTTTCTCACTTTTTCTCTCATGTGCACACACATACACACACACGTACACACACACACACATACACAATGCATCCATGTTCAGTGGCTATGTAATCATTACTTTGTACTGTTATATGAAGAAATAGATTTTGATTTTGAGGTACTTTTATTTTCAAAGGATACTCTGATTTAAGAATAAAGATTTAAGAAAAGAAAAAGCTGTTAAAGGAACTATCAGACTATTTTTCAGAGTGTTGTCCTACATCGTGTTTATATCGGTTTTTACAAAATCTGTCAGGTTTTCAGTATCACCCAACTTCTCAACATTTGTGTTTTGCTCTTTTTCTGATGCACACACACTGGTACAAGTGAACTTAGTAGGTTCAGGACTCTCTAGTCTTGGGTCAGATGAGGTAACATTTGGGAATGTGATCCATGAACCAGCAAAAGACCATGTGCTTCCAATCAGATTGGTGTGATTTTAG